TTTCTTTCTTTCTTTCTTTCTGCTGAGGATTGGATCCAGGGCCTCAGCATGGAGATATATTACCAGCCCTTTTCTTATTTTTTGAGACAGGGTCTTGCTAAACTGCTAAATTGTTCAGGCTGTGGTTGAACTTGTGATCATCCTGCCTCAGCCTCCCAGAGTGCTGGGATTACAGGCCCGTGGCATCTCACGTGGCTACGTAAAGCTCCGGGGATGCCTCTTACTAGGGGAGGAGTCTCAAGGACAGGGTGGAAGCGCAGACACTACTGGGTCCAGATTCCCAAGATAAAACCTTTCATGAAGAGCGGAGGAGTTTGGCCCACCTGAGGGGTGGGCAGTCTGATCAGGCTGGAGCGTCCCCCTCCCCTTGACACTCAGTTCCACGTACCGCAAAGGGCAGCAAAGCGCAGGGTGGGGGTGGAGTTCCTCTGCTTCCTGCGACTGTGATAAGAAGCCGGAGGCAGGGTGTTGTAAAAAGAGTGGTGCTGTAAAAAAGAACTCACAGTTCTCACATTCAGGCCTCAGCCAGGACATCAGCCGGGCTCATGGCGGATGAGGTGGTGCACACCTGTGATCACAGCCCTCAGGAGGCTGAAGCAGAAGGGTCTCTGCAATTATGAGGCCAGCCTGGGCTACCTAATGAGTTCAAAGCCAGCCTGAACTACATAGCGAGACCCTGTCTCAGAAAACAAAATGATAAAAAATTAAAACAAAAACAAAAACAAAAAAAAAACCTGGAAGAGAGAGGAGTCACAGGAAGAGGCAGTCCCAGGGCCCCGCCGGGACCTTGCTGACCTCCTCCAGGTGGGACCTGCGACCCAAAGGCCTCCCTCCAGGCACTGCCGCTGAGGTCCCGTTGCCCGGACATTGCCCACAGGGCACGAGCTTTCGGCGGGGGCACCGTAAGCCACAGCTGCACAGGGCAGGGGACCCGGAGGGCGAGCGCCGCGTCGGCCTGCGGCTGTGACCCGGGTCCTCTGAGCCACACCCCGTCCTGCCCGGGGCTGGGGCAGCAGCGACAGAGGACAGACACCACCACGAATTGGTGCACCCCTGAATGGGCTGCCCACCCACGAACTGGTGTCCAGTAGAAGCGGGGCTGGGCTCTGTCCCTAGCACCGCGGTGGATCGATGAATAAGTACAAAAATCCAGCCGGGACAAGGCGCGGGCAGCAAGCGGGCGCTGTGGCCTCGTCTGCGCCCGGGGCTCGTGCGCCCCTTCTGGCTCGTGGGGCCTCGTCCTTTAAGGAAGAGGCAGTGACACAGGCGCCCTCTGTCCACCGCGCCTGAGGGCCTAGAACCCGGAGGAGCAGCGTGAGCTTCCTAAGCGGCGGTCCTGCACGCTGTGGCCGTCTGTGGACGCCTTCCCTGAGTGGGGGGAAGGGGCAGGAGAGGGGACAAGGGCGGGGAGGTGGGGAGAGGACAAGGAGGGAGGAAGAGACCTCTTTGGAAGGAAGAGACCCTTACGGGAGAGATCTCTACTCCGGGCGTGGTGGTGCACACCTGTAACCCCAGCACTCAGGAGGCTGAGGCAGGAGGATTGCTTCGAGTTGAAGCGTAGCCTAGGCCACAGAGAGAGAGAAGGAGGGAGGGAGGAAAAGAAGGAGTAGGGGCGAGGGTCAGAGAGAGACAGACAAAGAAACCACCTTGGGGCGGCATCCTGGGCCCCTCTGCAGCCCCCCCCCCCCCGCCCCGCTCTCTGCTCGTCGGCTCCGCTGCGCCCCCTGGCGGCCCCCGGCGTCCACACCGCCTGCCCCACCACACGCGGCCCAGCGACCCCGCCTCCCCCGCCCGCGGGGCTGACGCGGCACCAGGGCGGGGTCCCGGGGTCCCCCTGAGCGGGGGCGCGACCCGGGGGAGTCGCAGTCACACCGGCGGTCAGCCTCTCGAGTAGACGGGACTCTTGTGTCCCACTCCTCCCTCCCTCCCTCCCTCCCTCCCTTCTCTCCTGGGGAGTTACTGACAGTCCCGGGGACTCTACCACTGACACAGCCGCCCCAGCCCTTTTTGTGTGCACGGGACTCTGGAGACGACGCCAGCGTGCAGCCAGTGCACGGGCAGCCACAGCACCCGGCTCCTTCAGAGGTCGACTCCACTGTGTCTTGGTCCCGACACCCGGAGCTGAAGAGCGGAGGTGTTTCTGCAGGCTCCGAGGCAGGTGGTCCGGGCAGGCTGCCTGCCCACTGGCTGGTGCCATCCACAGCCAGGGCAGGGCTCCCCTCTTCAGTAGCTCCACCGCGCACACCCACAGCCGTGCTGAGCCGATCAGTGGACTAATCCAGCATCACACTCGTGACCCGGCCCCCTGAACCCCCCCATGAGTGCCCCAGGCTTTACCGAGGGACATCTAGATAAGAGCTCCGACACTGTTTATACTTACTAGGATGGCTTTAATTGTAAAAATGGAAAACAATTGTAAAAATGTAGGCTGTGGTAGGCTGGTGCTGTCATTCCAGCACTCAAGAAGCTGAGGCAGGAGGACTGCATTGAGTTTGAGGCCAGTCTGTGCTATCTGGTGAGTTTGAGGCCCGACTGTACTAAATAGCGAGACCCTGTGTTTAAAACAAAAAAAGAAAAATCCCCCGGAAAAAGTGAAGCGGGGGATGAGGGTGCAGCTCAGGGTTAAAGCCTGTGCTGGGTGGGCAAGGCCGTGAGCTCGGTCCCAGCAGGGACGCACATGAAGTGGAGAACACAGTTCTCGGACCAGACCGGACCAGACGAGGCAGCGCAGCCTGCATCCAACCCGCCCTCACTGCGTCAGGCTGGACAGGGATGACAGGGCCCTGGGGACGCTGCTGTCCTTAGGCAGAGCATGGTGGCCATGGAGGGTGCAGGACAAAGCCTGTCATCAGCTCTGCGCGCGTCTCGGAGACACTGTGTGGGACCAGGTGGGTTTTAACTGCTCCTGAACCAACCCCCTGGAGCTCCGGGTAATCAGTGTCAGGTCACAGATGCCACCAAGTCTGCTGTCACCCTAGTCCCTGTGCACAGCAGCCCTCGGTGCCTGCTTTGTAGGGAGGCTGAGGCAGAAGGATCTCAAATTTAAGCCTACCTTGGGTCACTTGGTTACTTAATGAGACCGTCTCAAAATTTAAAACAAGGGATGGGGATGAAGAGTGCAGAAGGCCCAGGTTCAACCCCCTGTACCACAAAAATATGTATGAAAATGCTTTAAGTTCCTGTAAACTCCTGTGATTTGCAGATAAATTTAAGATCCTCCATCCTACACTTTGCACTGGCTCTCTGGAAACTTGGCACAAATGTACCTGTCCTATTTGGGGCAGGCCCCCCGGGCCAGCGATGTCGCTGCATCCACCTCAGGATGTATGGGGAGTGGACTCCCGCCACCGCCGCGCGTGTGTGTGTGTGTGTGTGTGTGTGTGTGTGTGTGTGTGCGCGTAGGCAGTGGCCTCAGCCCTGCAGGCCCAGTAACCTTAGGTCCAGCAGGACATCTCTGTGCTTGTCCCCTGATGTTAACACTAGGCCACATTGAGAAATACCAATGCATGTCTGTGATCAAGCACTGGGAGGCTGAGACAGGAGGACTCCAAGTTTGAGCTCAGCCTGAGAAACTTAGAAACTGAATGCAAATGTAACTGTGAAGACATCAGGTTCAACTCAGTACTCCCCTCTGCCCAGCAACAAGCAAAAAACACTAATGCTAACTTGGGGGCTTACCGCCGGGACAAACAGAAAACCTCTGGGGACATGTTGGCCTGGAATGCAGTGATAACTCTATCTCAGCCTCCTGAGTGCTGGTATTACAGGTGCGCCACCACCCCTGGCTAATCCACTGTCAGGCGGAGCTCAGTGACCTACCTTCCTCCTAAAACCAGCATCCAGACATCTTCACAAGCTGGGAAGCCGCATCCCGTTAAGATCGTGTGTGCAGACTGTGTCGTGCTCATGTGATACGCATGTGTAAACTGGGACGAGCCCGTGACCCAACCCAACCCTAGCTATAGCGGCGCGGCTGTCTTGTAGGTGTAACTAAAGCCACTAGTCAACTTAGGTTTGACTTTATGGTGCTGGGGTTTGAACCCCGGCACTCACATGTGCCCAGCAAGCAGGCCCCAGGCCCGCGCAGCACCAACTCCCCTCAGGAGCTCGTGGACAGCAGCTCCGCAGGGCTGGAGCTCCTGCTCAGTGCTGGCCCTTCCCCAAGGCCCAACTGACACCCAGGTGTCCTAGTGCTTCTGCTTTGAGACAGGGTCTCACTATGCAGCTCAGGCTAGCCTTGAACTCAGTGCCCCTCCTGCCTCACTGTCCCGAGTGCTGGGGTTGCAAGTGTGCGCGTATCCGTGCTTCTGGTGGGTTCTTGGCTGAAGGTGCCATAAGCATGATGTCCACCAGAGGGCGCCTGAGCTCCTGACACACTATTCCAGTACTTTCTGCAACGTGGGGGTTTTTGCCAATGAGGTGGACACCAGCTACTGCCAAAGATTTGATGAGGCTGAAGTTTTTGGTGGTATTGGGGAGTTTTTTTTGGTGCTGGGAATCGAACTCAGGACCTTGTGCTTGCCAAGCACGTGCTTGCGCCACTGAACTGTATCCCCAACCCAGTGTTAGGGATTGAACTACACTGAGCTGCACAAGCATACTTTGGTTTCTTGGACACTGGGACACCCAACTGACCAGGCTATCCTGCGTAGCTGGGGTCACAGGCCTGCACCACCACGCCCAGCCGAGGAGCGGAATCGATTCAAACACGGATGCAGGAGCCCCTGGACACCTTCCCCAGAGCAGGCTTCCCGTCACCCGCCGGCTCTGCTGGGTATCGCCCAGGGGCACACAGCCGCATGGCTTGGGACCCAGGTGCCGCCCCGCCTCACATCCTGCCAGCAGCAGGGCGTGCGGATGTTTTCTAGAGATGTGAGATCGGTGTCGCTCTGCCTTCCCTGGGACCCGTCCTGCCCACGCGCGCACACAAGCGCCCTCCCGGGATCCCGGCCTGGTCGGTTTCGTGTTTTGCTTTTGAGATGCAGTCCCTGCACACGTGCTGTTCTGGGCGCCAGGGCATTTATTCCACAACAGAACCACTGGAGACTGGCCGGGGGCACACAGGGCTCCAGACGCGGTGGGACACGAGGTGGCGGGCACGACGAGCAGAGCTGGGGTCTCGGGCTCCGGGAGGCCCTACTGGCGTCTACAGAAGCGGTGGCGGGAGGGGACCTAACTACCTGGGCCCAAGGCCTGGGTGCTGCCTGCCTCGGCCTACTTGCCCAGGGGGTTTCTGAAGTTCCGGCCGGCGAACTTGGCCTTGCTGCCCAGCTCCTCCTCGATTCTGGGGGACAGAGGGCAGGTTAGAGCCCAGCAGGGCCCGCGCCCCACACAGCCCGGCTCCCCGGGGCGCCTACCTGAGGATCTGGTTGTACTTGGCCAGGCGCTCGGATCGGCATGGCGCGCCGGTCTTAATCTGGGGAGAGAGCGGCGGAGTTGGCGGGCGGCAGACACCTCTCGGGGGGACCTGAGAGGCTGGGGTCTGGGAAGCCTCTGGCTCCCGTGCCACCGGCTCTTACCTGCCCGGTGCTGAGCCCCACCACCAGGTCGGCGATGAAGGTGTCCTCCGTCTCCCCGGACCGATGCGACACCATGACGCCCCAGCCGTTGGACTGCGCCAGCTTGCACCTGGGGGCCAGGAAGCACACAGACGCCGTGCCTCAGTTTCCCTTGGCACAGTCCTGCTGCCCTCTGGGCAGGAGCTGAAGGCTCAGTGCCTGGCTTTACCAAGAGCAAAGCTTGAAAGCCAGGCGTGGTAGTGCACACCTGCAATCCCAGCACTCAGGAGGCTGAGGCAGGAGGACTGCCGAGAGCTTGAGGCCAGATTGAACTACAAAGGGAGACAACCCCAGCAGGCAACCCCATCCTGCCCCTGGGGTTGGAGTCCAACAGAGTGCTTCCCAGCCTGGTTCACGCAGAAGCCATGCTGTCCACATGACACAACGCTGCAAGGAGCCGGGATCACCACCGTCCCATGCTCAGCGTAGCCCTGTGGTGCCGCTGCCTACGTTTAAGGCCACGGAGGGAAGCCAGCCCCAGACACTCACGCCTGCAGGGACTCGGTCACCGAGCCGATCTGGTTAACTTTCAGAAGAAGGCAGTTGCAGGCCTTCTCGTTCACGGCCTTGGCGATGCGCTTCGGGTTGGTCACCGTGAGGTCGTCACCCACCACCTGGATGCCGGCGCTGGCCGTGAAATTCTGCCAGGCCCCCCAGTCGTCCTGGTCGAAGGGGTCCTCGATGGACACCACTGAGGAGGGACAGCCGCAGTGCAGGGTGTGAGCGGGGCCAGGGACGACACCGCCCACAGCTCCTGTCACCACCGACCCCTGGCTTCCGGTGCCCCCACCTGCTGTTTCCCCAGAAGGTGACACTCGCCCAGCAGGGGGTTTGAGCCTGGTGCCAGGCACACAGCTCAGCCCACTCGGGGCTACACACTGCAGAAGGGAAGGGTTTACTTTTCCATATGGCACTGAGGGCTGGGGATGTCGCTCAGTGGTGGAGCTCTTGCCTGGTACGCACAAGGCCCTGGGTCTGAGCCCAGCACCACCACACACAAAGAAAAAAAAGCAGAGTCGGATGTGGTGGCTATAATCCCAGCATGCATAAAGCTGAGGCAGGAAGATTGCTTTGAGTACCAGGCCATCCTGAACTACACGTTGAAATCCTGCCTCAAAAAGCAAAGAAGCGAGGGATAACACTGCACACCCCAAACCCCAGCCCCGGAGGAGGCCGGAGAGGGCCGAAGCAGGATCCCAAGCAGAGCCCAGCCTGGACAACTGAGCGACTCAGGGAGACTGTCTCACACTGAAAACAAAAAAGGGCTGGGGATGCAGCTCAGGGCACTCCCAGCGCCACCAAGAGAGAAACTAAAAAAAGGAATTACGACGTACAATGGTTACGTGCACCGTCTGTGACCCGACTCCTGGGCCTTAACTTCTGCTCCTGCATTCGCTGTGTGCCTCTGGGCCCATTATTAAGCCACCTGTGCCTCAGTTTCCCTCTTAGCCCTGCCCAAGTCCCCGGGGCCCTGCTCACCTGGGTAGTCCTTGATGAAGGACTTGTAGAGGTCGCCCAGCTGGTCCGGCGAGATGTACCTGCTGGGGTCGTCGGGGGACTTGAAGTCCAGGTCGTACTTCCCGGACCTGAAGAACTCGGATGCGGCCACGTCCATGCCGATGACCACCTTGTCCGTGTAGCCGGCCTTCCCGATGGCGTTCTTCAGCAACTCCAGGGCTGCGGACATGGGTGACAGGCGTCACAGGCGGGCAGAGGGCAGCGGTCACGCAGGGACAGGAAAGGGAGGGCACCTGTCCCTTAGGAGAGTCGCAGCCACTCCTGGAAAGTGGCCTCCCCTCGGCAAATGCTCCCAAGTCCAGCGCCCAGGGACAGCTGCACAGGCCAGGAGGCCAGGAGGCCAGGGCAGTCACAGCGAGCAGCCACACCAGCTGTCCCCAGGCCAAGTTTAAATCAAGCCCAGGCCGGGAGCCAGGAGGGAGCCCCGGGCAGCCAGGGCCACCTCGGGGCTGTCTCCAGGGGCAGCACAGTCTGGCCTGACCCCGACAGGGCACAGAGCTGCCGCCTGGCCCCACGGTCCCTGGCCGGGGAGGTCGGATTGTGAGAACGTGGTTTTGTGCAGAGCCTAAAGCAGCAGCTTCACACAGCGAAGCCGACATGCTCTGAGCGCTCTCTCCCCGGCTGCCCTTGACGGGAGCAGAAGCATGCCGCAGCATGGCTCAGCCTCTTAAAGGAGGGCTCGGGCCTGCGCAGAGGCACAGCCTGAGGCAGGTGGGCTGCAGGGTCTCGGCCAGCCCGGAGAAATGGAGGGCCCCGTCTCCAACCTGAGAACCGCCTTGGACCCTGCCTGCGGGCACAGCCCTTCCTTTACCTTCCTTATTCTCCAGGATGTTGGGCGCAAAGCCACCCTCGTCACCCACGTTGGTGGCGTCCTTGCCGTACTTCTCCTTGATGACGTTCTTCAGGTTGTGGTAGACCTCGGCCCCGATGCGCATGGCCTCCTTGAAGCTGGCCGCGCCCACCGGCAGGATCATGAACTCCTGCATGGCCAGCTTGTTGCCGGCGTGCGAGCCGCCGTTGATCACGTTGAAGGCCTGGGGCCAGGCAGGGTGGACAGGTCACCGTGGCGGCTGCGCCAGCCCTCACTCACCCCAACAAGGACAGCGTCCCTGCCCCCCCCCCCCCCGCCTCTCGCACAAGGTCCCAGGACCCACTCACAGGGACCGGCAAGATGACTTCGGTGTTGCCTGCCAGGTCGGCTATGTGGCGGTACAGGGGCACCCCCTTCTCCACGGCGCCCGCCTTGCACACCGCGAGGGACACCCCCAGGATGGCGTTAGCCCCGAACTTGGCTGCAACAGAAGGAGGTGAGTCAAACTTTCCACTTTTCCCTGGCGGATCTTACCCAGAGACTGTCCAAGCAGCGACACTCTCTTTGTTCTATTTTTATTCTGACACAGGACCTCGCGGGTCACTGTGTGATGCAGGCTAGGCTTGAACTTCAGATCCCCCAGCTGAAACTCAGGCATTTCTTATTTGCCTCTTTCTCCTGCAGGCCTCAGGCCTGCACTGCGGACCCGCCCCCTGCTCCATGCAGACCCACCTGTGGCCCCCGACAAACTCGCAAATCCCCCCAGTGCTGGATCACAGAGGGCAACCTTTTCTCTTTGTTTATTTGTGGTGTGGGGATTGAACTCAGAGCCTCATGCGTGCTGGCAAACCCTCTACCACTCAGCCACACGCCCAGCAAGAGGGCAACCTTTGAGTTCAAAGACTGTAATCTGGGTGTGGTGGCACATGTCTATATTCCCAGCACTTAGGAGGCTGAGGCAGGAGGATTGCTGTAAGCAGGACCTAGCCTGAACTACACAGCAAGACCCTGTCCCAAAATAATGCTAAAAACCAAAAATGCAATTTTTAAAAGCAAATAAGCCAGGTGTGGGGGCGCACGCCTGTAATCCCAGCACTAGGGAGGCTGAGGCAGGAGGATCGTTGAGAGTTCAAGGCCAACCTGGACTACAAAGTGAGCTCAACGCTGGCCTGAACTGCATAGTGAGAACCTGTCTCAAAAAGACAAAAAAATAAAAATAAAAGCAAATAAACGGGAAGAAGCTGGGTGTGGTGGCACATGCCTGTAATCCCAGCACTTGGGAGGCTGAGACAGGAGGATCACCATGAGTTGAGGCCAGCCTGGGTTATAAAGTGAGTTTGAGGCCAGTGTCAACTATAGTGACTGGGGGAAAAAAAAAAAAAAAAGGAGCTAGACCATCCCTCAGCTCCTTCCCAGGCGCTTTGCTGATCCTTGGGACCCACCCCTGACCGCAGCAGGGCACTCACATTTGTTCTCCGTCCCGTCCATTTCGATCATCAGCTTGTCGATCTTCTCCTGCTCCACGACGTTCAGCTTCTGGAGGGAGAGGGAGGCTGAGGCCTGCACAGCCTCTGCTCCCCGCTATGGGCCCCACGGGACTCTGGAGCCCCCATCAACCCGCGCCTGATGTTAGCTTTCCAGGCAGAGGGCAGATGGGGCCTCGGCGGTGGGCCGTGGGCTGAGCAAGACAAATCGCCTCCCCCTTTAAGGGGGTCAGGCCTTTCTCTCAGCCAACACCGAAGGTCCCGGTCCCCCCAAAATCCAAGGTCACCTCACCCAGCTGGAGGGCCAGCCACAGGCCATGGAAGCTCTGGAGGGACACACACGTAACAAAGCCACTGTTCGAGGCGGGGCTTGTGGCTGCCTCTTGGGTAAGAGCCATGCTCACAATCTACCCTGACAGGATGCGTGATTCATGTTTTTGAGACAATGTCTCACTACATATAGCTCATCTGGGCTCAAACTCCCAGGGATCCTCCTGACTCAGCCTCCAGACACTATACTGGGATTATAGCTGTGCATCACCATGTCTGGCCCTGGGTACTTGCTTTCTGCAGGGAGCCCAAAATCACTGAGCAAAACATTTGATGTGGACCAGGGATAGAGCTCAGTGGTACTGAGCCTGCCTGGCAAGCGCTAGGGTGTCAGTTTGATTCCCAATACTACCAAAAAAAAAAAAAAAAAAAAGAAAGAAAGAAAAAAGAAAAAGACTAATCAAAACGGTTATCTTAGCTGGGGATGCCAGCATATGCCTGTAATCCCAGCACTCGCGAGGCTGAGGCAGGAGGATTGCAGCGAGTTCGAGACCAGCCTGGGCTATAAAGTGAGCTCAAGGCCAGCCTGAACTGCACAGTGAGACCCTGTCTCAGAAAGACAAAACAAAACAAAACAAAAAACAGGGGCTGGGGATTTAGCTCAGCGGCACAGCGCCTGCCTGGGAAGTGCAACCTTGTGAGTTCGATTCCCGGTACCGGAAAAACAAAACAAAACAAAACAAAACAAAACAAAACGGATACCTTGGTGAAGACTCTTGGTAAAAAAATCATAATGTGACTTTACTGCCTCAAAAAATAAACTGCCTCTGACTCCACCACGCCACTAACCATCTGGTATCTGTGGCCATTTTACACAGCATCGCTGGAAATAGCAGCTGCCCAGGCAGACAGGTCGGGGGCCAGTCCTCACCCACAGCCCCAGGGGTGTGAGTTCCCCAGGCGAGGTCATGCCTTGCCGGGCACCAAGGGACAAAAACAAGGTGTGTGTGGAGGCGTCTATGGGGTGGGAATAGACAGTGCACAGAGGCAAGCGGAGTCAGGAACTTCTTCCTCAGGGCATTCAGTGGAGAGGGACCAATTAAAGCGTGCCACAGAGGCCAGGCACAAATAAGGGAGGATAGATGACAAGGGAGCACCTCCCCTTCCATCCCTACACAGGGTGAGGTCGGGGACCGGTGTGCAGAACAGGGCGGTGTGGGCTGATGGAAGGGCCCCTGGGCCTCCTACAGGGGCTCTACTTCTACCTGCTGCGCAAACTGAAGTTATGAGTAAGACTTTTCCCCTTTTCTTGGTGCTGGGGACAGACTCCAGGCCTCCCCGCTGAGCCCCAGTGCTTTGAGGAAGAATTTTTCTGGGGAGTTGGGGTCTTGTGATGTTGCCAGGCTGCTGTGATCTCCTGGGCTCAAGCCATGGGCTTCCTTCAACCTCCTGGGTGGCTGGGACTGGCATGTGCCACCATGCCCGACCGACTACAGGGAGGTGCCAGTGAATGAGTTTCACTGTCAGAACTGAGCCAGCAGGAGGGCATGAAAAATTCCAAGCTCTGATGTCACCGTGGCCAGTGGCCAATGAATACCTCAGCCACCCTGAAAGGTCTGCTCTTCACATCTGGCCCTTCATTCTCTAAACGTCAAGATGCTCTGCAGGGTGCAGCGCATGGTGGTGCATACCTATAATTTTAATACTCTGAGGCTGAGGCAGGATAATCGCCTGAGCTACATGGTGAGACTTTGCCTCAAAAATACCCAACCTCTCCCAAAACAGGATCGTTACAGGGGAAAAAGCCAAGGGCAGAGACAGCTCCCATTCCAGGTGCTATTAGATGCGGGCACACAGGTGGGAGTTATGTCATGCAGATGTCCCTCACGCACCACACACACCGGGATCCCCCGGCTTCTGCAGCTCTCAGAATGAGCTCCTCTGTGAACAGGAGCGGCCCTGGCCTGGGACCGGCTTTGGGGGCACCGATGGGCATTAGTGACTTGGAGGCGGGTCCTACCTTGCTAACCAGGGCAGGTGCAATAGTTTTATTGATGTGCTCAACAGCCTTTGACACACCTAGAAGGAATAATCAATCGATTACCGACATGAGTGAACAACTACAGGCTTGAGCAGCGCTGCTAGAGAACCGCTGAGGCTGCGGGCTGGAACCCCGGGACCTCGCCTACGCCCTGCCCGCGCCCCCGGAGGCGGGTTTCAGCCCAGTCTGAGCGCTTGCACCTGGGACAGCACAGGTTAGAGCCGCACAGTCCTTGCACACCCGAGGGGTTAGTTCACACCATGCACCAGGCCACGGCTGGCGCGTTACCTGCGTGCACAGGGCTGGTGCCAGGAACTCATTGATATACTTAACGGGTCTGGAGACGCCTGCCCCGCCGGGAGGACAGAGGAGAGACTCAGAAAGGTGGAGGGGGAGAGACAGGCAGAGCACAGATGCGAGAGACAGTGGCAGGGGCCAGGCACGCCTTTGCAGACCTCTGGGCTCTCCGTGCCCTGCGGATGTGCTGCACCTGAGCCTCACCCCAGGGAGGTCGCAGGGTCCCACCCATGTGCCTGGGATTCAATTCAGTCAGCAGCCCCGCCCCCTCCCTGGGGAAAGGGACCTGTGTCCTGAGTATCAGGTTTTTCCTGCCCCAAAGGAGGCAAAATGCAAGAGAAACACATGGAATGAGGACGCCACTGTCCCCAAAGCCATTTCGTGGTCACTGCTGTCATTGCGAGTGTAAACCCTGAAGGGCAGCCCAGCCTCACCCTTGCCCAGGTAGCGGGTCTTGTCATTGTCACGCAGCTCCAGGGCCTCGTAGATGCCAGTGGAGGCCCCGCTGGGCACAGCAGCTCGGAAGAGACCTGCAGGAGGGGAGAGATGGCAGCTGAGAAAGACTGCTCGCCCCCACTCGCAGGGGGCAGCTGTCACCGGGTGACGCTTCACTTCCTTCTACCAACGGCAAAGCTCTAGCAGCCGCTCTTCCTGCCCTTCGGGTTTCCTCATACTGCGACGCGGACCCTGCTGCGACAGATGGACGCCTACAGTTTACTTTACTGAGAACGATCCTGAGCAGAGCTTCTAGAACTTTCACGTGCCCACGGGCCACCTGGAGTTTGCTGAAATGCGGATTTTAGCCTGGCCGATGCTGCGGGCCTATATTCCCAGCACTCCGAAGGCTGAGGCAGGAGGATCATGAGGGTTCAAGGCCAGCCTGGGCGACATAGTCAGACCCCATCTCAACGAACAAAACAAAGACCAAGCAAGCGGGTCCCGCAGGTGAGGGGCGCTCACAGCATCCCAGGAACCCTGGGAATTCACATGAAGTACGCGCCCGGGAGACACTGGGCTGCCTGCAGCAGGCTGGGGCAGGACTGGGGATGCGGGGAGCAGGAAAGGGCTGGGCTCCTGTCAGGGCTGTGAGTTGACGGTGACTCAGCTCTGACTGGCAGATCCTGTGAGCCTTGGGGTCTGGGTGCCTGCCAACTGCACCCACCAAATCTACTTATGAAACAGCTGGAGACAAGCTGATTTTCTTAAAGGTTTTTTTTGAGACAGTCTCTCAGTTGCCATGGCTGGCCTGAAAACTGCAATCCTCCTGCCTCAGCCTCCCACGTAGTGTGCAGCACTGCCCAGGCTTTTGGTAAAAGCTCGTAGGAAGGTGTTTTGCACAGGAAACTCTCTCTAGGAGACGTGGTCAGGGAGAAACGAGTGCCTCTTCCGAAGCCCAGAAGCCCACTGCGCTGGGTCCCTGCTCCCTGGACCAGACGCCAGCACTGGAACCACACAGGCCCGGGCTCCCCTACAACCACTTTCCTGATAGAGGGAAGAGCTCGCCCCATCACAGGCCACCTGCTTATTTGGTCACAGTGAGCTGTGCAGCCAGCAGGGCACCATGGGTCCTTTTAGGGACAAGGTTCAAGGTGTCACCTTACTGTCCTGACTCAGTGACCGGGGAGCCACCTCTAGGTCCTCATGAAGCCCGAGGCGAGACTCCTCTGGGACCACCCCTTCCCCGTCACAACTCGTCAGCGTGTTTCGGGGACACTTTTCTTTGCCCAGAGCACTGCAACTGCAAGACTATTTGTTTATTTGCACACTTATGGGCTGATTTTTGAGACAGGATCTGGCTACATAGTGCAGGCTGGTTTTGAACTCCTGAGTGCTGGGATTACAGGCCTGTGCTGTGGCGCGCAGCCCAGAGAGACCCACTGTTACATGGAGCGGGGCAGAAGGAGCTGTGGACACCGAGGTGGCACGTACCTTTGGAGGTGTAGAGGTCAACTTCAACAGTGGGGTTCCCACGAGAGTCAAAGATCTCCCGGGCGTGCATCTTGAGGATAGACATGTTGGATTTCTGTGGGGAAACAGTTCATTATTTGCAGATAAGCAAAGCATCCCTCACTCCTTCTAGGAGTCCCTTCTGGGGGCCCTGGGACCCCACTGGGCTAAACACAGGATACAAGAAGCCTTGACAGCTCTGCAAAGCCGGGGACTTCATCCTTTAAAGAGAGGCCGGGGGCGCTGGGGGTAGCACAGGGTAGGGTCTGGCCGGGTGTGCTCCGGCCGTGGCTCCATCCCCTGCGCTGGAGACAGAACAGGTTGCGGTCTGGGGGCGCAGCTCACAGGCAGAGCGTAGAGCACGCGCTGCCCATGGTACAATCCCTGGCACCAACAGAAAAATTAAGCAAAATAAAAACACTCAGCTCTGGAAGGCCTCGCCCTAAGCCCTCAGGCCTTGTTCTATGAGCAAAAACAGCCCAAGAACCATGGACCGGGAAGAAACCAAACTGAGGAAAAGATGAACGTGGAAGCCATGCAGAGCGGCTCTCAATGGGTCACTGTCACCCATTAACAACGGGGCTTGGCAGGGGGAATGGAGGGGGACCGAGGACAAGTCGGCAAGGCAGCCAGGACGTGAAGGTCACAGCAACACCACATAGGACAAAGCAAAAAGGGGAGAAGCCGAGATTAAAAAAAAAAAAACAAAAAACTAGCTTTTCTGCATGACAGCAACTAAAGAAGTCTGGGGCATAGTTATAATTCATTGCAGGAAACCTGAAGTAGCACCGTGGGCTGCATGGACAGATTTGACAGCTACTTGAGTCTAAGGGTCAGGAGTAAACAGTCCCTTGCTCTGTGATCATTGGTAGTGCATTTTTGGGCTCTTGCAAATTTCACAGTGTTTGGGTCTTTAGCAAAATGTGAGACATTTGGAACATCACATTTTCTTCAAAAGGCATTTACTGTATTTTTTAAAAATTTATTATTTTTTTCATTTTACTGTATTTGAAAATCAAATGCGAAATGTCATGACTTGTAAGTAAAGATTTTTTTAAAAATATATTTAGGGTATCAGTATGTAGCACAGGCTGGACCGGAACTCACAGCAATCCTCCTGCCTCAGCCTCCCAAATTCTGGGATTACAGGTGTGTGTACAATGCCTGGTTTAAAATAGTATCTTTGAACGCCAAGGGAAATAGCTTCTGTTAAGAACATTTAAAGAAAAGGTGGGAAAGTTGGGCGTGGTAGCTCTCGCCCATAATCCCAGCACTTGAGCGAGGCAGGAGGATCCCGAGGAGTTGGAGGCCAGTCTTAAATACACAGGCAGATCCTGTCTCAAAAAAAGCCGGGCGTGGTGGTTCACGTCTGTAACCCCAGCACTTGGAAGACTGAGGCACGAGGAGCGTTGCGAGTTCAAGACCAGCCTGCATTACAAAGTGAGCTCAAGGCCAGCTTGAACTATGTAGCAAGAGACCCTGTCTCAAAAAAAAAAAAGAAAAAAAAAAGAGGAAAAAAAGGCATTTGCAGTAACAAAGAGGAAATAACACCCCAAAGAAAAGCCCCCTTTTTCCTTTTTTTCCCTTTGGGGTGCTCTAAAAATAAGGCAATCCATCAAGCTGTAGAATAAAGTGGATGAAGAGCAGAACTGGTGCTCAGGAGCTATTGTCTAGCTGAGCTTCCCGGGCACCTTCTCTGGAATGTTCTGAGGCGGGAAGTCCCACCATTTTTTTTTTAAGTTTCAAAACCACTTCTGTGGTTTTGTTGTCCGCGTAACGGTGGAGTTCTATTCATCCAACAAGAAAAAGCCACCTAGTTTTTATCTACCGTGCTCTGAAAGGCAAATTTGTTTATAAAGCCATTCTTGAGTTTTTAAATTCTAGCGGAGCTTGCCAAAATTGGGTTTTGGCAAATGATACTCGGGCACATCTCCCTCACCCCAGGGCCCCCCTCTGGCCATTTCTGGTCAACCTCCCCGATCCTCGGGCGACACGGTTTGACTGTGTAGACTTCAGATGCATCTAACAACACGTCTTTATCTCAGATCCACGGCCCTTCTCGTTTCATTTCAGGGACAAAAGATGAACTAACCAGTTTCACATAAAAAAAAAAAAAAAAAAATGTGATTTATCTTTAAGTCGAACGCAAAAACTGTGCTCCAAAGTCATTCAAGTTCAGGGAGTGTAGGCCGGGAAGAGGCCTGCGTTGAACCCGCACCAGGGGCACAGCACGTGGACCTCAAAAGGCCAAGCCACAGCGGCTGTGGCCAGCCAGGAGGCCCCAGCCCCTCCCGCCTAACGTGGGGGCGGTCCCCCGCAGGGCCCGCTAGCGATCCGGCCGCCCAGCTCGGTGCCACCGCGGAGCGGACCAGGACCGCAGGCTGTGCCTGGAGGGAGCTGGGGCTGCGGATTCCCGGGGACCCGGTGAGGTCGATCTCGGTGCCCTAGGCCGTGCCCCGGGCTCCGGATGGACAGTGGCCTTCCGCTCCCCAGGTCCGCTACCGTGCGTGGCCGGCGCGCGCTGGCCCCGACCTTCGTAGGCTCCGGGGTCGCACGTGGATCTGTGCCGGGCCCCCGGGGGTCCCACGTGGACCTGCGCTTTGCCGCCCCAAAGCATGGCGAGCCCCACAAGTGTGCCCGCCGCTGCGTCCCAGGGATCCCCGATCCTGCCCGGGAGAGCGGCTCCCACGTGCCCAGGGCCGCCACGCCGACCCCGCGCCGTAGGACTCCCTACCTGGCTACCGGATCTCGTTGCCCAGGAAGAAAGGAGCGGGTGCTACAGACACCGAGGTGCGCGTTAAAGTGGCGAGCTGCTCTCCGCGCCGCCCGCCCCGACTTCCTGCCAGCTCGCGAGGTCCCGCCCAGTGCCCGCCCCCGGCGCCCGCCCACTTCGTCTGGGCCTCGCCATTGGCCAGGCGAGCCGCCGCTCAGAACCTCGCGGGAAGGGGCGGGACTGGGACGGCCGCTAGGGCAGAGGGGGGCGGGGGCGGCGGCGCCGGGCCGCGGCGCGGGCGGGCCTAGGGGCCTGTGGGGACCCGGCTGCTGTGTCGGGGGGCTGGCGAACTCCCAGACCGGGACCCCGGATCCGAGCGGGGCCTGCGGAGCCGAGGGCGGCAGGGGCGTGGCGGGGCGGCGGGCATGAGGGCTCGGGGCCTCGTCACGTACTCCGAGTCCCGCACGCGCTCGGCGTCGCTGCACGTCCGGCCCCGACCTTGGGGACGACCTTCGGGCGCCGCCCTACTGCGGACCCGCCCACCGCGAGCCCCGAGCCCCGCGGCGTGGAGACGTTGGGCGGCGTGGCCGCGGGCCTCGTGCGCCTGCGCGCCGCGTCCGTGCCCCTGTGCCGCGAACCCCCGCCAAGGTGACCCCGGCCTTTGTCCTGCTAGTCTGATCGGATGCGGCTGTCCAGCCAGGCAGCGCACGAGCGGTTCCTGTCCCCTGGTGTCACATTTACCCGTTTATTTAGGTGCTGGAGATTGAACCCAGGGCCTCGCACGTGCTAGGCACACACTGCACCCCGGAGCTGCACCCCTGCCGCTCCCCACCCCACCCACGTGGCTCCTCCGGGTTAAGTCATTCTTTGGCCCTCGGTTACACCGCTTCTAGAAAGGATGCTTCATAGCCCAGGCTTGCTCCCAGCAAATTCCCAGCCTCAGATCATAATGGGGGGTCTCCTCTCTCCCCACCTCTGTGGGCCTGTACTCTACTCCTTTGTGTATTTTTAAATTTGTGCCTTATAAATCCCTTTATGCCTCTTACTGGTGAGCTCTAAAATTCTTTTTCTGTGCTGGAGCCAGCGAACCTGCACCTTCATTCTACAGGTAAGGTGGGTGTAGGTTCCTTACCTTCCTGAGGCAGCTCAGGGTCCTTCAACAGTGATTTGGGATTGGAATTTCAGATAGGCCCAAGGAATTTCTCAAGAGTGCAGGTCAAGAAATATTCCATGGTGGTTTGGCAAGTGAAAAACAGGAAAGGGTGGGTGTGGTCATTTCACCTTAATCACCATTAAAAGTGAGCTCGGTGGGGAAGCACGCTCCGCTCCCAGAGAGAGCTGGGCTGAGCGCCTCATTTTGTTGTATTTGTTTTTGTATTTTCTCTCTTCCCCCTGGTCTTAATACGCTGAGAGCTAAAACGTCCTACCTCCCTATATTTTCCGTATTGCCTTGCACAGTGTGGTTCAGAGACCTTGAATTTGATTATCTTCTGGTCAGATGCAAAACTGCATTTGTGTATTAACCCGCGGCGTTTGGATTCCTGGGGCTCCTTTCTCGATTAGGTTCATGGCACTGGGTAAGAAGGAGACCAGTGAGTCCATGGCATTTGCTTTCCATTGACTAAGAAGCGAGATCTTCAGGATTAAATTCAGCAAAGAAGCAACAAGGGACACTTCAGATGTGTCGTTAGAGTGTCACGAATTTTGCAAGCAGAGCGTGATTTCACCAGTAACAGACGTTTTATGGCTGCAAAATCTAATATCCCCAACCCATGACTCAGCAGCTAAATCAACAGCCAACTCTCCTACGCCTTGTGAGAGCTGTCAGAAATCAGACACATCAGACTTTCTTTTCAGAGCAGTTCTAAGGCGTGACCCTGGAAGGGCTCCAAACAATCTTTTCTTTTAAAATGGTTGGAGAGATAAAGACAGAACAACAGGGCTCTCTCGCAGCTGCTGTCTGGCCTGGACCGGGGAACCTCTCGAGAAATCAGAGGCAGAATCGGATCTTGGCTGCTATTGCAAGATTCCTGGAGGCTTCTGCCCGGCATCAGAGGCAGCACTTTGACCACAAACTGTGGCTCAAATGTTAATGATTAGCAGCGATTATTCCTTCAACTCGGCGTCATTTCCAAAATTCACAGGCTGCCAAATGCCCTCCCTGTCTCTGTGGTGCCTAGGCTTGCTACAGGTTGTCACAGGCCGCAGGCTTCACATTTGCCTGTGGCAGGCTCTGGGCACTCACCTTGCTGCAGGCGTTGTACTGCGCTGGTATTTCCCACTTGCGGTAGGCTGCTTGGGCAACGTCAGGACAAACGGAAGTGAACAGAAAGTTCGAGGCACCCTGAAGCCCTGCAGCCCAGGCTCTGAAGCAGGGCGCCAGCGGGGAGAGGAGCTGCTGCAGCAGCCAGGATTTGACCCACTTGGACTGCTGATTCTACCTGAAGCTGCTCATCGGAGAAAGTCTCTACCTCTTTACGGAGGGGGGGAACTTCCGGGAAGGATGAGGGCCCCTGGGTTAGTAAGACCTCAGAGTGTGGAAGGCCCTTGGGGATTAGGTAGTGGATCCTTCTAGTGGGTCAAGGGTGGCCTGGGGCCTGGCAGGGTGGTTTGCCTGTAATCCCAGCTGTTCGGGATGCTTATGCAGGAGGATCATTAAATTCCAGGCTCTGGGTTCAGTTCTCACTAAGAAAGGAAAAAAAGAGAGGAGACTGGGGATCTATAGCTCTGGTGGAGCCCATGCTCAGTATGCAGGGTTCTGGATTGCATCCCCAGCACAAAAACAAAACAAATCAAGGTTTTTCTGTTGTTAATTACTATTTTTTTCTTTTCTTTTTCTTTCTTTCTTTTTCTTTTTCTTTTTTTTTTTTTTTTTTTTTTTTTTTTTTTTTTTTTTTTTTTTTTTTTTTTTTTTTTTTTTTTTTTTTTTTTTTTTTTTTTGGTCTTTTTGAGACAGGATCTGGCTACGCAGTTCAGGGTGGCCTTGAGCTCACTTTGTAGCCCAGGCTGGTTTTGAACTCAAAACGATCCTCCTGCCTCATCCTTTCAAGTGCTGGGATTACAGGTGTGTGCCACCACGCCCAGCACCAGCTTCTCTTTATTGTTATTATTTTCTTTCTCTTGCTTCATTTTGTGTTTTTTGTTTGTTTTTGGTTTTTTGGTGGCACTGGGAGTCCAACTCATGACCTTATGCTTGCAAGGGAGGCACCATGCCACTGTGCTATATCCCCAGTCCTCTTTCTTCATTTTGTGAGACAGTCTCTGCCCTCAAACTCAACGTTGATCTTCCTGCCTCAGCCTCCTAAGCTGTGTGATCACAAGCATGCACCACTTGGCCTGATTTCTGTGTGCTCCATTCTGTAGCTGAGTGTGTGTGTCCCTGGGCCCCATCACAGCCTTCTGGCCCCATGCACCAGGTGTTTTGTTTTGTTTTGTTTTGTTTTCCGGTACCAGCAATTGAACTCACGACCTTCCATTTGCCAGGCAGGCGCTTTTGCCACTGAGCTAAATCCCCAGCCCCCCATGCACAGGTTGATCCCATCACCACAGACTCTGGGTTGGGGAGGGGAAAAGAGACACTCACACCCCTATAAAAACAGCTAAAAGCCCAGTGTGGTGGCGTTTGCCTGTAATCCCAGCACTTGGGAGGCTGAGGCAGGAGAATCATTGCAAGTGCAAGACCAGCCTGGGCTACAAAGTGAGCTCAAGGCCAACCTGAACTGCATAGCGAGACCCTGCCTCAAAAAGCCTAAAAACAAAACAAAGCAAAACAAAACACAGCTAAGAGGTAGATGTGGTGGCACATACCTATGATTCCAGCATTTGGAAGACTGATGCGGGAGGATTGCCATGAGTCAGGCCAGCCTTGGCTATCTAGCAAGACTGTCTCCAAAACAAAACAAAACCAAAAAATAAAAATAAGTAAATGGGTATGAAAACCAGCTAAGAACAAAGGACCCATGGGTTCTCCATCTTTCCAGAGCCCTCTACCCTGATTCTTTATCGGGATAGCTATGTATCTTCTCCTTTCTCCCTCCTTCCCTCTTTACAAATAAAGTGTCTTGTGGGGCTGGGGATTTAGCTCAGTGGCAAGAGCGCCTGCCTGGCAAGCGCAAGGTTGTAAGTTTGGTTCCCGGTACAGGAGAAAAACCAAAAAAAAAAAAAAAAAAAGTGTCTTGCTTTCATTAAACTTTGTCCCTCTAATTCATTTTGGGGCTGAGTTACAATCCCCCTTGGATAGGGTAACAGCGAACTGCCCACCCCCCAGATGTAACAAAACTGCATGTGCTCTGTAAACCACAGCCAACCTCCTACCCTTAGGGTGGTTTTGAGGGCCCTGCAGGGCTTCCTGCTGTCCACAACCCACTCCCTGCTTTTGTCTTTTTTTTTTTTTTTGGTACCGGGAATCCAACTCAGGACCTTGCGCTTGTCAGGCAGGCGCTTATGCCACTGAGCTATATCCCCAGCCCTGCTTTTGTCAAAGTGGACCTCAAGCTAAGTGTGGTGGTGCAATGCCTTTGATCCCAGCAGTCTCGGGGGCTGAGGCAGGAGGATCACAAATCGGAGCCTCGGCTGGGTATCTTACTACTTTTCTCATTGCTGAGACAAAACACCCAACACCCAAAGTTAAGGGAAGAAAAGTTTATTTGGCTCACAGTTTGTGGAGGTTCAGTTCATAGTCAGTTGGCTCCAAGGCAGGGTGGCCTGACAGAGGGCAACCGTTCATGGCGGTGGAAGACAGCATAAACAGCAAGACAGAGACAAGACTCTTTCTGTCCCTTATATTGCATGCAGGCTACCCACCTGTTGCAGGCAGAAGTTACAAGGGAAAGGATTTAATACAGGACGCATAATTTGTAGGATTATTTTATAATATTCACCCGAAGAGTCAAATGCAAAAGAGTGCAGGAGATCTGTCCACACACTAGAATCCAGCTGAGGTCCTGGGACCCACGGCAATGTCCTACAGGAGTCCAGCTAGAGGCCTAGAACCCAGGACAATGCCTCAGGCAAGTCTGTACCAAGGATCTGCACTGGGAAGGCCTAAAGGTCAGTGGTGGAAGCTAGAAAATCTGCACCAGCGGGATGAAGGATCTGTGCCAGCAGGCTGAGAGATCTGCACTGGAGCCGGGAAGTGACAATC